TGATGTCCATGGTTTACAACATAAGTAGTAGCTTCCATTGGTTTGTGTTATCTTTGCCCTTCACCTATGAAGAAATCTTGCTGTTGAACATTGGGATGAGGCTAATTTCCTACCCCCCAAGTGCTAAGATTGGGGCTTCCTAAATCTATCTGGGCATGTCCATAGTTAGAAGAGGAACTTCAGGTCTGGGCTGTCGCACTTACTCAACTACTTGTTTTGAAACAACCTGCAACTATCGATGGTGGTTATCCCTAGTTTCTTGCATCACCCTGGTGCCTTCTTCAAAAACATCTCTCATTTCAACCATATATTGCCTTGTCACTTTTGCATGATGTTTAGAAGACTCTATGTGGCTCTCAAAGAGTTTTTACATAGTTTGGGTTTGCTTTCTACATGCTAACTCTAGACATTCAGTTAAGCTTCTAATTACATTGCTTGACTCCACTAAATCATCTCTGCAATCTGCATCCTGTTCTTTGAAAATTAGATTGCCATAAGATCACTCCATAAAAAGGTGACAACAAGGGAAAGATAATTGGGTCATTCTCACCCTCTGAATAGACTAGACTGTTATCTGCACGCTTAACTTGGGCTGGTTGAACCTTTATCTCCCTTCTTTTTTTGTGGCATGGCTCCAGACGCCTTTAGGTATATAAATAGAGGATCTATGAGCCTTAACTGATACACCCTACTAGTGGTTCCATTGGGCGTGCCAACAAAGGATTATTTCCTTAAAAATCGTTAGTCGACCCTAACCACGTGAGTTTGGGTATGAGGCATGCCACTTGCTTTGTCTAAAACAAAAAAATCGAATTTTCTAGACAGCCTTTCTCTTTTCCAACAGTCAACCTCCAAAAGGATGACTGAAAAGAACGTCTATGAACTAAACAACGCCTTAGACGACCTTGCAAAACAAAGGGTGGAGTTCTGCAAATTGGTTTACTAATTGTCTTGGACACCTCCAAGGATTTTAAAACCACTAAAGTATAATAAAAGTTACAAATCCTAAATTAAATGTAATATCCTAAGGCAAACTATCCTAATATGAAATCAATAAAAGAAAATAACATGTCATAGAAATAAATTTACAGACAATAGATTGTGTAAAATCGTAGCCAATGATTTTAACTACATAATCCATAATAATTAAACTAATTACTTGCAGATTTAAAATAAAAATAATTAAACTAATTGATTGCTAAAACTAAAGGAAAATCTATAAGTAGATCAAAGTGTAGAAACTTCTAAATTTAAACCTAACCTAGAAATTAACATCAAACAAAGTTTGGTAGTTGTGCAAAAAGGAAAAAGAGAAGGCAGAAATCATTCAACTCATTCACATAAATAAATAATAAAGATAAATCCATAAAAGATAGAAAAACTAACCAAATCAACAAGGTAGACCTATTTACAAGGCTGAATTGCTTCTGAATCCTTAAAAATTAACAAAAGTTGCAATCTTTGAAGGAAAATATGAATAAGGATGGAAAAACGTAAACTAGATCTGAGAACAAGAGCAGATATTGCATTCTAATCTGGAAATCATGTTGAAATTTGGAAAAGAAAGTTTGAAAACTAAAGTTGCATACGCGCTAGGCGATTTTTTTATAGGGTAGGCCATCTAGAATTGATTTTTTCCTCTTGTTTTCTTTTTCTTCAATGCTAGGATTCTTCCTCCATGATTCTCAACCCTCTTTCACCATAAACGGATAGTGGGTGCTTCATGTCTAAGGCAATTTTCTTTTGTTTAGCAACTGACAATTTTAATCCAATTTTAATACTAATAAAACCCTAATAGTAACCTTCTCCTAAAAACCCTCAACTTCCTAATTTAAATCAGACTCAACCACTAAGTGAATCACCTTATCATCTACCACTAAGTGAATCACCTTATCATCTACCACATAAGTTCAACCCACCATGAATTCCATTTGGGCTATAAATTTTCAAGGTAGCCCAAACCAACCCAATTTGCTGACTCTCCTTACATGGTTTTAATAGTTGGGCATCACTTTGACATGTGGCCTCATCCCATTAGTTTTATTTTAGGTGTAAACACATTTTTTTCTATTTTTTAAAGATATTAACTTTATTAATTTCTAAATAAAAATGTTAACTTTTAACCTTTTCTACTTAAGGATATCAACTTTTAATCTTTTCTGTTTAAGGATATTAACTTTCAACTTTTTCTATTTAAGGATTAATTGAATGGTGATGTTGACATGGCAAATGGATATTTTAAAAAAGGTTAACATCCTTAAATAGAAAAAGTTGAAAGTTGACATCCTTAAATA